TTAATTTATTTTTCCTAATGATCAAATTTTTGAAAATGTAATATGTTCATTATCTAGAATTTTAATATTAAATTCCCAAATATTATTTATAATATTATATGTACATATGTGCCTGTGCACATGATATCTACTAGTCACGTCAAATAGCCAACACATAATATGGTCAGCTATGATCAGTAAATTAAATTTTAAAATGGTTTTTGTAATTTTGAAGTGATTAGTGTATTGATTATCTAATAATTAAATGAGAGGTTAAATAAATAAAAAGTAACGGGTTTTGGAAGGAAGAAAGTTATATTGCCACATAGGTATAATTTAATAGGATTTATTAAATGTTCATGAGCCAGCAATTATATATACTAGTATTTGATCTTGTGCATTTGCACAGATATAAAATACATTTTTGTTTGTATTTATTAATTAGACATGTACTTCTATCATATAAAAATTATTACTTTTTCTCATTCAAAATTAATTGAGATTTAAATTTTATTTTAACCATGCAACGTTTACATTAGTAACATGAATAAAATAATTATATATTTGTGGCATATATTAAGAAAATTAACATAAATAAAAAAATTATTGGTGTTTCTGATTTTTAGAAAAAAATATGTGTCAATCATATTTTCTTCCAACAATGCAACCAAATATAGCGTTTATAGCTCTTAATGTGCCAATCAACAATAAGTTCCAATATTAGGCGTTACACATTTGAATATTTTTCTACCAAATTTAGAATTAATTTAGTAACTGATTCAAAAAATAAATAATAAAAATATATATATTAAGGTGTAACGATTTTAGTAGATTAATGAGTAGTTAATTAAAAAAATATAACTCCTTTTAGAGGGAAATAAAAATAGATTTTATTAAATATTTTATTAAATGCATCAGCTAGTAATTATATATATAGATAGATATAGATATGATATTGTAACGGTTACATTTAACTATAATATTAATTACCATTGCCAACAACAAAATTAGATTAGTTTTTAAAATATAACCATTACAACTTTTGGTTATTACAATATTTATTACAAAATTAAAGATGTAAACACAAATTAAAAAGAAACTAAAACATATCTACGGAAAATGAGTTTAGGCATGTGTTGATATCGAAAATCGGATGATCAACGGTTAAATAATAATCGATTTTTTTGTAGGAAAAATGAAGAACAAGTGCAATGAGAATGTATGTATATTTTCTTTTATTTTGGAGAGAAATCTCCTTTTTTGCTTGGGGGAGATGGAAAAAATGAAGAGAGACCCCCCTCTTCTCTCTCTTATCACATATATATACATGAATTGAAAAAGGTGAAAATAATACATCATCATCTAATGCAAAGTGACAACTGGGGGGGCCCACTTATGTCTTTTGACGGCTTCGATCGGCAGCTTCTAGCTAATCAGTCTCGAAAACTTGTTTGTGTATATATGTGTTTTCGGCTCCTTGGTTATCGGGCTGCTCTTTATTACATTACATACCGTTTATTTAATTGGAGCCAAATTGGGTATCAACAGGAGGCCCCCGAGTTTAGGACATGTTCTTGATTGAACTGTTCTGAAGTCGCGTTTAATCATTACAATTTGGCAATGTTTTTACCTCAAGATCCCTTGAGCTTCGGACTCTTTTTATTGTGTTAGGATATCGCGTAATGAGAGATATTGGTGGGATCGCAAATATGTAGATGAGCGCGAGTGGCGGATAATTTTCGCGTGATTCATGAGATCACTTTTTATCTTGTCATTTTTGGAGAAAAAAATGATAATTTTATCGCGATTTAGTACGCAATTTTAGGGTGCTTTGGGACCCTTGAGCGTCTTGTTGATATGTTTAGGCTTTGGCCTGACGTGACGATGATAATCATGGCTTGATCTCTGACGAGTTGAATCGGTTTGAGTGAATGGACGACTTTTCGAATTGGATAGGGCCTGTGTGGCCTGGTCGGGCGATTTGGTACCCGTTTTTTATGCATGAATGCCTTTTATGTCGACATGAGTGAGCTTAGAGCTCTTTGTCTGGGTGAGCTTTGAGCTCTTTGTTCGATTGAGCTTTGAGCTCTTTGTTCCTTACGATAATGCATGCATAATGCGATCATATGAGGAATGCGTGAATGTATGATGAACGCATGTGATGAATGTATGTCAAATGAGAGCACCTTGTTGCATGCTTTGTTCGGCCGAACTGCGTTTGAAATTTGGTTTTTAGTTTCAGGGCGCTTTGGCCTAACCGGGCCCCTTTGCCGAGCCTGGCTTGTGCAATTTATCGCACTAATTATGGTGGCGCATTACCCGTTCGA